AAAAAAAATTAATAAACAAGAATCTCGATTTGATTTTTATATATTTAAAATCTAATTTTTTTAGAAGTAATCTTAATTTTTTTGTATTAACCATAGTATTTAGAAATCACACTAAATTTTAATTAATTTAAAATTAAGTTGTGTCAAAACTCTCTCAATACTTACTTTTTTATTTACAAAATTTAAATTTAAAATTTTTCTACTCAAATTAATAAATAATTAATAAAGTAATTTTAATGATATACCCTTATGTTAACTTAATATACCTCAAACAACTTAAATTTAAAATTTTCAGCAATGCCGTTCTTTCTTGCTTCTTTCTTACCTTACCGCCAATCAGATATGATTTACCCACTGAGGCATGATTTACCCAATTAGACTGTATCTATTAACTTAACTCACCATATTTGAAAAAAAAGAAGAAAAGAAAAGAAAAAGAAGAAAAAGAAGAAAAGAAATCTGTGAAACAAAATTTTTTATCATCAGTTGTCCTGGCAATAGCATCAAAATTCACACTAAACCCACCAGACGTGATGTAGCATCATAAATGGCGCATGTTGGGCCAATAGATGACACCCACCTGGCCACCTTCAGTCCTCAGCTGGCTCACCCAAGTTGCATCATGGTTCATGCCACTCCCCACCTACCCACCACTTACATAAACATTTGCTCCCTCAAAAGGTGTTTGTTTTTTCATTAGAAAATAGGCTTCAAAAGTGATGAGATGACTGACAGCTCAAGAAATCCAACAAGAATAATTAGCATTTTGCTGGAAATCAGGGATCTTTTGTCTCTTAACCATGACCTATGGAATTATTTGTGTATAACAAAATATAGGTTTAAGAAAAAAAAAATAATAGTAAACTCATCACTTATGAACTACCACACAAGATTGTGGGAATTTACTGTTGATGTATATTCATTGTCATTTTTATGGGGCATTGTCTTAGTTTTAATTTTGTCAATAAAATTTGGAACCAAAATCTTGACAAAATGACATTTCATAAAGGCTAGGCAGAGAAGAGTATAATTAAATTATGCAATGGAGTCCCAAAAGTCACCCAAACAAGGCAAATGGCAAGGCAACCCCCCAATTAGCCATGGATTGGTGAGATTAAAAGTCATGGTGATGATGGTATGGAAACTTTGTTTATGTAAAATATATGAATACAAAGGACAGGTAAAGATAAAGAAGAATCCATTAATTAAAAAAAATGCAAAATGGATGATGGGTTTGAACAGGATTTGCAGTTTAAATTAGACATATGAGCGTGGGACCAAAGAATAAGGTTAGGACACAAAATTGTGCATAAAGATATCTGCTAACTTTAAGATCATGCTCCCATGTACCAATCAGGCATGTTTTTGGATTGCCCTATTTTTTTGACTACTTTTTGTGAGAGAAAGGAAAGGTAAGCACTTACTCCTTTCACTCAACATGAATATAATGGGGCTATATATGCTCCAGAAAAATATGCACTGGGCTGCACAATGAAGCTGTTGACTGTGGATTTGTAGGTTAATTGTGTTTGCTTCCTATTTTGTTGAACAAGATTCAATTTCTAGCAAGGTCATAAAGAGATAATCCTCCCTAAATCTCTCGTATGTGTTCTACTTTAGAGATGGTATCATTTGACTAGTATAAAAGGAAAGGAAGGAAAAAAAAATGAAAACAAAAAAAGAAAGAAGAAATTTCAGATTCAGATGACCATTCTCACTTGCTGCCAAGTACCAATCTCTATCTTTGCCTTTCAATCAAATCAAATAATTTTGCATTCTAACCTAATTTCCTAAAGCATATATGATTATGATGCCTGGAGAGTATGGGAATATATGCCTACTTGCCAAGTAGATTAAAAATCAAAGGTATAGAAATAGAGATTGAAATGAAATCCATACTTGGAAAATTCCATGGGGAATTCATATACCATGAAGCCATTGAAACAAGCTTGTGCTTCAAGAGTTAACATCTTTCACGTAAACTGAATACTACAAAAATACAATCTGTAGAAAAATGTAAATTGGAAAAACTCACAAATTATTTTCTTTCAAGGAGAATTGACAAAACAAGTGGCTAAAGATGAATTAGATTCCTCTTCTCCAATCCTTCTATTGCAATATGCATTGAGCAAAGAAAAGACACCAACATATTTCTCCCCTCTTGCTTTTACAATTGCTTATCTTTGAAGCATTACCATATTGCATTCTATTACTTCCAGTTTTTGTCTAAAAAGCAATTTTTGAACACTGGCAAAAAAAAGAGAACAACAGATCACAAATCCAAATGCACTAGCAAAAAGGCTTCAAAGATCATATCAAAAGTGCATCAATTGTACTGCTGCAAAATGAGATTGTGATATTACATGGCTAACTTTGGGCCACACATGCTAAGATAATCTACTCAGACGAAACCAATCATGCAGCAGTAACAATTCTCCGTTCTATACACGAGAAACTAACTTTCGAAAGGTTTAGCCTCAGCTCTCCTAACTTTTTCCAATCAAGAGCCTCATTATTCAACTAATCTCTCAAGTAACATGTACAAAAAGAGCACTACAAAAATGTAATGATGAACCAACTTTAATTCTATTGACGACATTTCACACAGTCTTGTTTGAGCATGTTGATTGTTTGAGACACAGCATCTTGGTTATTTTGGTGGGTACCTGGTTGACACGTTTTTGGTTTTCTCTCAGCTTCAGCTATCTCAAGCAAAGCCTGGTCCTCTGTTGCTCCCATCTTCTCCTTCATTGTCTTCTTCTCTCCTTCAAGCTGCATTTTCATTATGGCCTTGGCTTGCTTGTCAAATCGGTTTGAACAATTCCTCAGTGGCAGCTTCCTAAACATAAATACAATCTTCTCATGAATAATGAAATTACTCAGAAAATGAGAAATCATCTGATTTAGGAACAGAAAGAATCAAATTTTCATAAGAAAGCATTTTTTATCAGCAGAGAGATCACCATGAATTCTCATGAATTTGTTGAATAAACCACAAATTCTTTTTAATAAAGGCATAGCTAAGAAAACTTGTTCAAGCATTTTGTCATATATGTTTTACTTCTTTAAAAAAACTTTTGCAATGAAAATCACATAAATTATAGCTCTTTGGAGATAAATGGAGAATTGAAGATTCCAAATTTCAATTTCAGTTTTTAAAGAAGTAATTAAAAGTTTTACAGAATCAATTGTGTCTAAATTTAAAGTTGCCAAAAGAAAAAGCCTCCTCCCAAAAGAGCTTATTGTTTCTTCAAGCTTTTTGTTTAAAGGTTGCATGTCCTCAACCATGCACCAAACCTCTGTTAATATAATCCGCTCAGGAACCCTTCTTAATGCTACCTTCCATTCTTGTGCCTAAAGGACCAACAATGAGAGTTCAAAATGAATTAAGAACATGCTATTAAGAAAAAAAAGAAAAGAAAAGAAAAATAGATGGTGTAAAAATGTAAATTTTGTTCATGAAAATAAAGATTGTGCTCCTTAAACATTAGTTTTTTCATTTGAAAAGATGTTTAACAAGATTCCTAAGACTATGGATATTGCCCCATGTGAGTGCTTGGATTAGCAAGAAGTAAAAGAAGATATCCTACCTTGATGCGATACCACCATACTTCCTTTCGTTCTTTTTTGGGTACTAACTACTTTGGCCTAAGTCACAAGGGCACACTATAAGAACAATACATATAAAATAAGTCTATTCAGGATTAAGAAAATAAAGGGGGAAAAACCCAACCAACCAACCAACCAACCAAAAGGAAATAATTGTAGGTTCCACAATCTAAAAAGATGTAAGCATAACGAGGTGGAAACGACAACTCAATTTCATTTTCAAGGTTTCATACAAGAACAATTACAACTTGCACACACATAAATCAATAATACACAAAAATGAAACAAAGAGGTGTAAGAATGAGTAAAAGGACCTGCCGCTGCCAGAGATGTGTCTCAAGTTGCAATCTATAATTCAGATACTAATAAGTAATATTTCTTGGAGAAAATACAGAGCAGAATTTTAATGGATTCATCAGAATACACTCCCTGTATCTATTTCCCTATTCACAAAATTCAAATTTGAGACCCTACTTAAAGGAACTAAATTCCTTCTACTTGCATCAATAGGTCGGTAGTTCTAGCATTTGGTTTATAAACTACTGTAACACATCCAAAATTCTGCATCTGACAAATTTCTAAGAAAGAAAGTAGCTGCAAAAAATTTAAAAAATAAAATAAAATCTCAATAAAGTAACAACACCGTACAGCTATCAAATTACTAGAAAGCATTGTTCTGGTCATGATTTTGGAACTCAAGAAAATATTGAAATAAACCCAGCACAACAGCACAAGTTTTTCTCATGAACAAAAATGAAATCAAAATTTTTATCTCATTTTCCTCAGCTTTCTAAGCAACCAAGCAGAAGGGTAATGTTCTACTTGAGATGTCAAACGTAAAAGTTTCATATTGCAAAACCAAAAAATTAAAATAAAATAAAGTAAAATCAAAAGATTACCTTTGTCCATGTAAAATACAGGAAATGGAGGGGGGTGATGCGGACCGTTAACAAAATCGAGGGCAGATAAATGAAACAAAAACTGTTTGGGTTCGTTGATCTCCTCTTCCCCGGTCTCAGCTACATGGATGATATTCTACCATGTGGATGTCCAAATGAACTCCGGGTCTGAAGGCCCTAAAACTATTGTATCTTTTGGGCTTCTTGAAGCCGATTAAAATGATTTATTGCCATAATCACAAATGACCCAAATCCTTATTTAACCCTTTTTTTCCCCAAATTATTTAAAACTGTGTAATAATTTTAATTTTGGCAATAACATCAAATGCTATACCATCCATGTTATTCATCTACACAGTGATCAAGAGACAACTTGTATGGTACAAATCTTTTTTTTGATACATAGTATGGTACAATTTTTAAATACATGTCACTTTTTTTTTTCTTCGTACATGTTATTTCTTTTTAACTTTCAAAAACAATTCATGTCATTTAATAATTAATTTTTTTTACATAATTAAAATTTATAATATTATATATATTTATTCATATAATAATATATATATAACTTGTAAATGAAAGTTGTAAAAAAAAAAACCTGTTGACATATCATTACCCTAGAACTACTATTAGAGTGACTTGTTGGCAGAAAAGAAAATTTTAAGTGCCTTATAACAAAAAATATATATATATATGTATATATTTCTTTTTTTTCAAAGTCAAGCGTTCCTTGAGCGTTGTCAGCAGTGGCGATGACCAATGAGTTTACATGAATATGATGCTTAGCCAGAACGGTAGAACAGACTTGGTTTGGAATATCATCACTTGTTATCGAAAATTTTATTTATTTTTTTAAGAAAATGAACAGAATTACTTGTTTCTTTTAAATGGTTTCGCATAATGTATAAATCTGAGATCTGTGACCAGGTAGATCTTCTGCAACACCCTTTTCGTTTTTGAGTAACAGATCATGAAAATTGGAGAAACATGTGACATCTTACGGTATAACTCGCCACAAAAGTCACCATGTTGAAATAAAAGTTTTATATTAAGATTAATAACCATTTCTTGATCGAATCACCAAAATAAAATAAAATTTAAAGATGGATATTTATTTCAAATATTACTACTAGATTAGTGAGGATTAAAGAATAACCAATACTACCTCTACTTTTTTTTCTTTATTTTTTTTTTTCACATTTTTCCTTATGTATGTAGGTTTCTTAATTTTTTTTTACTGCTATATTACTAGCAATCCAAAAACCAAGAGTTCTGGATGTCTGTAGCACCTGACGGCCAAGACGACCCAGATCAGCGGTTAAGTGTACGATTCCAATTCAAAATAAACAAAAAGACTTGAAAATCAGGTAGAGTAAATACTCTATCATAACATGATATTGAGTTGAAGGATACTCCATATGGTACCACCATTTGTTAAACCACACAGTTTCTGTACTTTTTCAGTATCAACGTTGATGATTAGCAAGAGGAAAACTACTATTTCACTTACTCAGAAGTTTGAAAGAAAAAAAAAATTCTGTTCCATTAATAACTGATTACACATCTTTCCAGCTTGGCTACTCAGCAGAAAACTCAGTCACTCCTTTTCTTCTTCCTTTTCTCATCCTTCTCCATTGAACTTTTCAACTGCAACGCAAATGTTTTCACATATCAAAATGATGACTCATGTACACTAATTAGACAGACAAGGATGCAGAATGCTGAGCACACTATTGAGCTAAACTCACCATGATTATCAGAATACGGACAAAGACAGCAACAAAATCAGTGAAAAGCAACAGTGCATGCTTCACATAGTCCTTGTCACCGAAGTGTGCTCTCTCAATCATCTCCTGTGTGTCGACGACAATATAGCCCACAAACAGCAAGAGGCCAAAGTACATCTGAAAAGTGATGAAAAATAAAAACATATTCGTCAATGCAAATAAAGCTTTCAAATGCTACAAAACCAAAACAACTTTATAAAATTCTAATTCTCTTACCTCAATCTTAAAAAGAGCTGTGGAACCACCAAAGAAGTAGGAGGCAAATTGCAGCAAGAGAAGAATAGACATCCCAGATGAAAGCAACCCCCCAAGGTAAAGGTACTCTCTGCGCCGAGCCAACATAGCAGCGGCAGAGAAGCAACCAAAGGCTACTGCAGTTCCCACAAATGCAGATACCAGAACACTAACAATCAAGGAAACACCATAGTTAGTACAGGTCATCTGAGCATCATATCATAAGCTGACTAATTATACACCAGGACAATGAGGCAAAACCCTATCTTAAGCCCATGCACAAATCCCATTTTCAAATGTAAACAAAACCTCTTGGACTTTTTTCTTCTTTTGGGAAAATCAGCCCCTCAATTATTTTGGTCCACACAAATTAGCCCAAAGTTAATACAGTTTCCATTTCGTTCAGGGGCTTAAGATATGGTTTTTAGCTGGACAAAGGCACAGAAATTAAATCTTCAAGCATATTGCATTCTAAAGAACCGAAGCAGACAATATAACTCTACCAGATCCTATGAGGGTGAAACTTAAAGCATGACAGTATCCCAAAAAGAAAAGGTTAAGCATGGTTTAAACCCGGAGAAGTTAATAACATTGTAGATTAACCAAAAATTTCTAAAATGCAACAATCAAGTTAAATAACGACAACTGAATTTCAAGTTTAATTACGGTAGAACTATGTAAGAAGAGCTGCTAAAAACTGGAAACATACCCTGGGTCAATATTGATGGCCAACTCAATCACAGGACCAATTGTTGCCCCCTGAAAAGCTGCAGATGCCAACAACAAAGCAACTCTCTTTTGCTGCAAGCACCACAAACCAAAAATGAGTACAAATTACAAGCAACAAAGCACGATAGTGAACACACTCAAGACAAATCAAATCAGGAGAGGTTACCTCTTGATGTTGTGGCGTGGCTAAAATCCAGGCAATGCTGCCAAAACATCCAATTGTTGTAAGAATGCCACCGATGTTCCAAAGCACATGCAGATACACTCCAACAGCAGATGCAACAAGTGCACAACATAGTGTGAGATAAACCTGCAAATTGAAAAAAAAAAAAAAAAAGTGATAAATATATGAAAGAATCCTCCGTAAAAATGTTCTGCTGATGCAAGATTGTGAGATAATTAAATCTTGTCTCAGATCCAAACAATCAAAATGGAGATCAAACTCCGACTGCAAGAACTTCTTTCCCGTGCTCACTTCTGTTCGACAATCTAACAACACACTACAGAAATCCATTCCAAATTCACTCGCCATCAAACTAAAGGTTCGAGGCAAAACCCTAGAAATAGCTAAAAAGTGAAACGACTGCTATAAATTGCAAGAAATTGCCGGTTCTCAGTTCGCACAACCATGATAAAACACAAGATTAGAGAAAACATAAAACAAAACAGAAGAAACGGAAATAACAAAAAAAAAAAAAACGGGAAATTGTCCGCCGGCAAGATTACCTTCTTGAGATGAGTCTGGACGATCGGAGAGATCTGAGAGAAATCACTAAGAATATCGTAACGCCAGCAGCCTCTTGATTGGGAATCGAAGAACGAAGTGAACGCGTCCATGGTTGGAAGAGAACGACCAAAGTGCAAACGCAAGAAAATAACAGAGAACGTAAAACTAAATAGAAAGAAGGGGATTACGATATTTATAGAGCTTTTGTTTTTGGTAAAAGGTATTTATATAGCTTGTTCGTGGGTGGAACTGGAAGTCTCTAGAGTTCGCGAAGTTACTAGAATGCCCTTGGTTTTGAATTTAATGGGTCCACGGAAATTACTTGACCCGAAAACTTAGAAGAACTGATACGGTGGTAAACTGCCTGAGAAATGAGTCGGGCCGGATCTTTGAGGATGGGGCCAGTCATATTGAAAAATTTGGAAGTATGAACCGTGTGAAGGGTAATTACGGGAATAAAAGAAGGAAAGATCCTGGAAATTTCGCGGGCTTTAGCTTTGACTGGAATCATCCATCGCTTAGGCATTAAGAAAGACATCACACTGTGGCTGATGTCGTCAACCGAACCAATTGCATTTTGCCATGTCATCTTAAATTTCCATCAATTTTTTATATTAGTTGATTAATGATAATTAATCCTACTTAATACATTATGTTGCAAAAAAAAAGAAAAAAAAAAGAAAAAAAAAGAGGAAAAACTCATTTTCCTCAATATATTAGAAAGCATTGTTCTTGTCATGATTTTGGAACTCAAGAAAAGATTGATATAAACCCGGCCACAACAGCACAAGTTTTTCTCATGAACAAAAATGAAATAAAAATTTTTATCTCATTTTCCTCAGCTTTTTAAACAACCAAACAGATGCGTGGTGTTCTACTTGAGATGTCAAACGTAAAAGTTTCAGACTTCAAAATCAAAAAAATAAAATAAAATAAAATCAAAGGATTAGCGTTGTCCATGTAGAATACAAGAAATGAAGGGGATAACACGTACCGTGAACAAAATCGAGGGCTAAAAAAAGAAACAAAAACTGTTTGGGTTCTGTTAGGTGTGAAATACAAGGAAGATGACTCCACATATTGTCAATTAGTTTTAGGTTAGATGTAAGTTTTATATTAAATCCACATGCACAATTTTCATATGATATCAAAACTCAAATTTTATCTTAGAAAGCTTGTTGTTAACCCACCTGACAGGACCTAAAGTTGATACTGAACTTGCATGTAAGAGGTGTGTTAAATCACATGACAGGACTCGACATTCATAAAGGACTTGCACGTAAAGGGACGTGTTGAATGGGAAAATCCCACAAGTATAAAACGAAAAAACTTGTGGATTAAATACAAGGAAGGTTACTCCACTTATGGTCAATTAGTTTTAGGTTGAATAGTTTTAGGTTGAATGCAAACTTTATATTGAGCCGACATGCACAATTTTCACATAATATCAGGGCTTAAATTCTGTTCTAGGAAGTTCATTATACCAGATTTTGTTCTAAGAAACTCATTGTTAGCCCACATATTAAGATATCGAGCCTGCATGTAAGGGGACCTAATAAGTCACGTGATAGGACCTAACATTCATAACGGACCTGCATGTGAGGGAGCGTGTATGTGAAGGGGTGTGTTAAGTGGGACAATCTCATATCGAGTATAAAAGTAAGAAGATTGTGACATGACCTAAAATTCATAATGGACTTGTATGTGAAGAGGCATGTTAATTGGGAAAATCTCATATCGAATACAAAAATAAAAAGCTTGTGGGTTAAATACAAGAAAAACTACTTCACTTATTACCAATTGATTTTAGGTTGGATGCAAGTCTTGTATTGACCTCACATGCATAATTTTCATATGATATCAAAGTTCAGATTCTGTCTTGTGAAACCAACTGTCAGCCCACTTGACAAGACTTGAAGTTAAGATACGTAGTATGTATGTAAGGAGGTGTAATAAGTCACGTGAAAGGACCCAACATTCATAGCGGGTTTGCACGTGAGGGGGCGTGTTAAATGGGAAAATCTCATATCGAGTCTAAAAGTAAGAAGTTTGTGACATGACCTAACATTCATAGTGGACATGCACATGAGGAGGTGTGTTAACTGGGAAAATGTCATATTGAGTACAAAAATAAAAAGTTTGTGGTTAAATACAAGAAAGATTACACCACTTATTGCCAATTGATTTTAGATTGAATGCGAGTCTTGTATTGACTTCACATGCATAATTTTCATATGGTATCAAAGTTCAGATTTTGCCTTTCGAAGCCCACTGTTAACCTACTTGACAAGACCTGAAGTTAAGATACCTAGTGTGTATGTAAGGAGGGGTAATAAGTCATGTGACAAGACCCAACATTCATAGTGAGTTTGCAAGTGAGGGGGCATTTTAAGTGGGAAAATCTTACCTTTAAATTGAATGCAAGTCTTGTGTTGAATCTACATGCATAATTTTCACAGTTTTATTGATTTCCTTGTCCTCGATCTCAGCTACATGGATGATATTCTACCATGTCGATGTCCAAGTGAACTTTGGTTCTAAAGGCCATAAAACTATTGGATCTTTTGGGCTATTTGAAGCCGATTAAAATGATTTATTGCCATAATCATAAATGGCCCAAATCCTTATTTAACTGTTTTTTACCCCAAATTATTTAAAACTGTGTAATAATTTTAATTTTGGCCGTAAAATACTATCCATGTTATTCATCTCCATAGTGATTAAGAGACAACCTGTTGTACGGTTTTTTTTTTGGTACATAGTATAGTACAATTTTTTTGTACATTTCACATTTTTTTTTGTTATACATTTCATTTTTTTTTATCCTTAAAAAACAATCCATGTCATT